AATCACAATGCTCGGATCCTGCCCGTCGAACGTCCGCACATCTACCACCATCCCTCTTCGTTCAAACGGGATTACTAACCCCAGTCAGCCGGGACTGGCCCATGGCAACAGCGTGTCCCACTCAGTGCCCACAAACTCAATCCCCCGCACTCCCACCACGCCAGCAACAAGCTCTGGCTAGGCGCCACCATCTTCTTGACAGCACCCATGTGATCCCCCGTTGCCCAAGCATCGCCCCCAACGGCGCCGACACTGAAACAGTGCCACGGCGTCAACAAAAATTTGAAACGGGCGCTTCGCGCCCAGCGCCCTGGCCGGCTTACGCAACGCTGCGCTAACGCAGCGCCGCTAGCCGTCCCGCTCCAGTGCGCGAGCATGTTTTCGACACCGCCATCTTTGGCGATTTTTCTTTTTTTTTTTGGCATAGCTAAATGCCCTGAAAATTTACAGATGTGTACTTCACATAATACAGAACCCACTAAAAAAGTATCAAAAAATAATAATTGTTTTTAGACCCCAAACTAAAGTGAAAACAAAAAGTAAAAAGTGAAAAAATATGTGGGCAAGCACGTTTTGGCACCGCCATCTTTGGCGATTTTTTATTCTTATTTGGCTGAGCCAAATGACTTGAAAATTTACAGGCATGTACCTCACGTCATAGAGAACTCACAAAAAAACCTTCAGAAAAAAATAATTATTGTTAGGCCCCGAAATATTTTTTGGCGGGGGCCGAATGCCGTCGGGTTCGGACCCCGTACGGGACCCCGAAGGCCCGTACATACGGAGGTCTGCCCGGGGACCTCCGTACGTACGGGCTGGTGACCCTGTATGTATATATAATTTATTTATTTATTTACTTATTTATTCACACAAGTATATAGCGTTTGTTTCTCTTTTTTTTCTCGTTTCTTCCTGAGGCCTGCGGCCTCGACCCACTAGTCAAGAATTACGCTTTGCGGCTGGGCTTTCGACCACGTGCGGCCTGCAGTGACTCACGCCAGCCGCAGATCGCCATCCACATCCACATCGCCCCGGATGAATTCGGGGTGACTCAATCTTTTGTGCCTGTTTTTGTTCGCCACATTCCGTTCACGCGAAGCTTCAAAATCAGTGTTTTTTTACCCATGGGTGATTTTGAAGCTTCGATTTTCCTTATTTTGTCGTTGAAAAAATTAGAAAAATGTGGGATTTGGAGTTCTTCGGCCATCTTTTGTGTGCGCAGTGGCCACGAAACACGGCGCAAAGAGATGTGTCAGTGTTGTCTTGTGGGTTCCTAGCACACAGTCCTAAGGCCGCGCTGCACTTACATACCGAGAGCAGCGGCCGCACATGCCCACGAAACACGGCGCGAAGAGATGTGTCAGTGTTGTCTTGTGGGTTCCTAGCACACAGTCCTAAGGCCACGCTGCACTTACATACCGAGAGCAGCGGCCGCACATGCCCACAATGTCCACCCGAATTCATCCGGGGCGGCGGCCAGAGGGGTCACATGCTTTCCATCGTTTTGGGTCCGGTGTCATAATGAGGGATGGCAGTCATAATTGCGGGTTACTTTATTTTCATTTTTTTGGTGTTCATCGCCTAAAACAAAAAATGGACGAAAACAATTTCTGGATATTTTTTTAATGCTAAAAAAGTGCCACACACCGACTTACGCTTAGCTAGTGGGTTGAGGCCCCTGGGGCAAGGTCCCACTTGCGCAAATTAGGAGATTTCGGCCGTTGATCTTTGCTATCTACGGTCAGTATCTCTTAATTCGTCCAAGTAAGTGGGACCTAGCCCCCGATGGACCCACTTATTAAATTGATCAGAACAGATACTACACTTAGGGCCAGATCCCACTACTGGCAACGAGGATTGGATTAGCCACCTGAATCTGGATATGGTTTATGCAGAGATGCAGAAAAACACCTCTCTGTGGCCATTGTTTTCACTTCTCTCCCTCTATGGCCACTGTTTTCACTTCTCCCTCTCTATGGCCACCGTTTTCACTTCTCCCTCTCTATGGCCACCGTTTTCACTTCTCTCCCTCTCCCCCTACCTTTCCCTTTCTTCGCCATTCTTTCAATCGTCATCAATCATTGGATGCACCTGGCTCACTTCCAACCCTCCAATGGACCCAATCCATCCACGTTCTTTTCTATTTTACCTTAAGTTCACAATTCTTTTTTTTTTTCTTTTTTCCAATCTATTCGTGGGGGCAGCACGTGCTAGGAACCGGGCCCAGCCCTGTCCCACATTCGTTTTTTTTTCCCCCTTCAAGGTGAAGTTTCAATCGTGTCCCACACGACGTCACACACTCAATTCTCCTTCCGAACCTATCACCAACCAAAAACAGTAATTTCGATCGTCGTCAACCATTTGAGAGGATGCACCTACTTTTCTTTTTTTTTCATCTGATTCCAGAACGTATTCCAGAACGTATTCCATGATGACAGTACGCAATCAATAAGATGAAAATGGAGCAGAACGAAAATTGCGCCGAATAGAATTACTACCGTCTTCACCCGAACATAACGCACCCTAAAAGTGAATGTATACAAGCTATATTTCCGGCCAGATGCAGCCAAAATAACGGTGCGTTATGTTCGGGTGAAGACGGTAGTCCCAGGGCATATTCGCCCACGAGGTCTTTTTTCTGGATGTACACCTACCTCTTTAACAACCAGGCGGTGGATGCACCTGACTGCAATCACGGCTACCGTCTTCACCCGAATAGAACGCCCGGTCATTATAGCTGTATCTGGACAGAAATCTGTACCACATACGGCTATAATGACCGGGCGTTCTATTCGGGTGAAGATAGTAATCTAAGTACGCCCTCAGTTTCGATGCTAGATTACAACAAAAAAAAAAACACGAGGACGAGAAAGAGATTACAAAACTATCGACTTCCCCCGAACATAACTCACCCTGATAACGAATGTATACGAGCTAAATTTCCGGTCAGGTACAGCCAAAATGAACGCGCCTTCTGTTCGCGGGGGAAGACGACAGACCAATCACACAGGCAAGATTAGACCTACCCAACAGTTGATCGGAGCGATTGTTTTTTTTTTAACCATTTACGAAACTCCACATTTAATCAATGGAGGGGGGGAAAGAAAAAAGAAAAAAGAAAAAGAAAAAGAAAGGGGAGAGAAAAGGCGTGAATGCAAAAGGGGGAAGAGAGAGAGAGAGAGAGGGAAGCGTGTGAGAGGTAAAAGGTAGGTAACCCTTGTGCTCAGGCCAAGAGCGATACGAACGAGTATGAGACAATCGCATGGAGGTGGACGATATCGCATGGAGAGGAGAGAGACAAGGCCATCGGAACAGAGGAAAGCGATAATGGCATATCAAGCAACTGAAGGCATATTTTCACGCAAGGACATTTAAGGACGTATCTGACCGCAATTACGCCCAGCCATGGATGTATCCGACCGCAATTACGCCCAGCCATGGATGTATCCGACCGCAATTACGCTCTCAATCATGTATGAATCTGACGGCAATCGCACTTAGCCATTGATGCTTTGACAGCAATTACATCCACAGGTAAATTGAAAGTCGCAGTAATATAAGGACGCAAAAAAATTGTCTAGGCGAGAGACCAAGTCACCTCAGCCGAAAGCGAGAGAGTAGCAGAGACCAATTAAAAGCTTCCACTGGGGCAAGACAAACTGAAAAACGGCGAAAATTTGTCTAGGTTCATGCAGACCACTTGGCAAACCGAAAATTTGTCTAGGTTCACGCAGACCACTTGGCAAACCGAAAACCTGTCTAGGTTCATGGTTAATGTCACTTAAGTATCAAAAAAAAGACAGCACCGAGTGCGTAGTGTCCCAAGCTCTAACAACACATTTATGAATTAAAACATCATTCACTGTCTCTAGTTTCATGCAAAAAATTTTAAAAACACACTTTCATGCAAAAACATTAAAAACACAACTTTTCAAATGAAATACAAAAAAAGAAAAGGGGAAACAAAAACAATGTACTTCCTCACTTTGCTTTATTTATCTCATTCCTTCAGAACTTATGAATTCAAACATCATTCACTGTCTAGGTTCATGCAAAAATTGTAAAAACACAAACTTTTAAAAGAATGTAAAGAAAAGAAATAAAGAAATAAACAAACAAAAAATATGTATTTCCTTTACTATATTTAAACAAAAACGATGTATAGACACTTTCATGCAAAAATTTTAAAAGCACAACTTTGCAAAGGAGATACAAAAAAGAAAAGGGGAAACAAAAACGATATATTTCCTCACTTTACTGTATTTATCTCATTCCTTCAGAACTTACGAATTCAAACATCACTCACTGTCTAGGTTCATGAAAAAAGTTAACAACACAAACTTTTAAAAGAATGTAAAGAAAAGAAATAAAGAAATAAACAAACAAAAAAGATGAATTTCCTCACTTTACTATATTTATCACATTCCTTCAGGACTCGTGACAAGTGGATGAAAGCCGTCGAGTCGTTTCGGTCATACATCATTCACTGTCTATAAATCATTCACTGTCTAAATTCAAAAACATACAACCATTTTAATTTTTAAAGGAGAAACAAAAGGAAAAAAGCATACATTCCCTCTACCTGTATTCATTACATCATTCACTGTCTATATCAAATAAATCGGGAAATGGTCCAAATTTTTTATTTCAAAAAAAAAAAAAAACATACAACCATGTTAAAGGAGAGAAACAAAAGGAGAAAACCCTCTACCTGTATTCATTACATCATTCACTGTCTATAAATCATTCACTGTCTGAATTCAAAAACATACAACCACTTTAAAAGGAGATAAACAAAAAGAAAAAGGAAACAAAAAAATACATTCCCTCTACCTGTATTCATTATCTCATTCCGTGGGGACTCGAACTCGTCTTCTCTGTTTTCCGACAGGTATATGTATCTAATTCCGTCCAGATACATAACCTCGAGCTGATATCATTCTCTGCTTCCATTTTCACTAGAAACGAGACCGCACGGTCATTACCGCTGTATCTGGCCTGAAAGTCGACCTGATTCATTTGAAGACGGTATAACACAACCACGAACATGTTTTCTTTCGGTTTCCCCTCCCATGAGATAAAGCACGCAGCTGAAAATACAAACAGATACCTTTCTGATCAGTTTAGTAATTAAAAAATAATAATAATAAAACAAACAGCACAAAGCAACACTGCATCCATCTTCGCCCGACGAAAACGCAAAAGGTCATTGCCGCGGCGGCGGTATCTAGACCGCAAGATGACCCGATTCAGGTGAAGACGCACGGTAGCGAAACCACGCGCCTGTTTTCTCACCTTTGAACGAAAGCACGAACGTTAAAAAGAAGTAAAAAAAAAAACTAAATAGGGCTACAGTGTCATATAGTAAAAAAAACGTAAATAGACAAAATTGTTGACGAGAATTGACAAGAAAATAGACGAAACTCGACGAAAATTGACGACCTTCGACAAAAAATACGAACATTGAAAGATTATTTCATACAAACCCCCTCTCATAGAGGGACAGGCGAGCTTTCAATTTATTTCCTCGGGTGGGAACATACGCAAGAGTACATCTCCATCATCGAATCTGTCATTATTTTGAAAGCTCCTCTCGATTCCTGTGAATGCTGAATACACGTCACAGGTTCAATTCCTGTGAATGCTGAATACACAGCCGTGATAAGAGTTACCAACACCTTCCTTTCTCCTTCCGTCTCCTGTACTCCGGAGGAACGAAGACTGCCGTCGCCACTTTCAGCCGCCTCCGCCGCCACTTCCGCCGCCTCCGCCGGAGTAGGAAACCCTAAAAGCGCGAAAGCGTGCAGAATATGGACCCGGAATCTAGAGTCCAGTTCGAATGCTCATTATGAGAAAGCGCAGCAGGAGTAGTACCAGGTCTAAATTTCAATCTGTTTATCTGAATCAGGACCCGGATTCGTCATCAATTCATCGGCGAAAGAAAGAAGGCAATTTTCAAGAAGAAAATTAGTCAATGTACGGAACAGGCAACGGAAAGAGAAGGATAACTGTCGGACGAGGTGCCAAATTGACAAAAAGAAATGATCATTTTTCAATCCATCCGTTCCAAAAATCGACGACGAGCAGACATCGACAAAATCCTCTTAACTACGAGCTTGCTTACCCCAGAGACAGCAACTGCCCTAGGCAAATGCTGAAGTTAAAGAGCAGAAAATAACAAAAGGAGAAGAAACACACATACGGTAAGAAAAGAAATCTCTAAAAAGTCGTTTTCTGCCGTTATCCACCGTTTTCCGCCGTGTGCGGCCTCTACTTCTTTCACGTGATCCTCGCCTTTCGAAAGTACTCAACAAAGACAAGAAACATCGTGCAAAGAAGAAATAACTTAGCGAAAGAGAAAAGAGAAATCCAAGCAGAAAGAGAGAAAAAAAAATCCGAACAACAACGACAAGTAAACTATGCGCGACGCAAAAATATGCACGAAGTAAGTTAAACACCAAAGTCCGCCTCCATATAGCTCAAGCATAGGAAAATCCCCTTGTCTTGACTTCAGGCGGCGTAAGGGAAAACTCGTATCGCGCTCAAACAATCAAGGTGAAGGTAGTACATATCATGGACTGAACGAATAAATCAACGAACCAATTAACGACAGTGCGACAGAAGGCCAACTGCTGCTGCTGCTGCTGCTGCTGCTGGCTCCAGCGTCTTTCATAATAACTTAACCAATCAATCAATCAATCAATCAATCGTTCAACCACAGTCTTCACAAGGGGCTTCACGACTTCCCAAGTGAAATCAGGATCCTCACGACCGAAGTGTCCGTACGCCGCCGTCTTCTGGAACCTCTTGTTCCCTCCCCGCTGCAAGTCGAGAGCTTGAATGATCATTCCAGGTCTGAAATCGAAATTCTCCTTGATTAGGTTAAGAATCTCCTCGTCAGATACCTTACCTGTTCCGTACGTATCAACGAATACGGACAGAGGCTCAGCTACTCCGATGGCATAAGAGACCTGGACTAGACAGCGGCGCGCAAGTCCGGCAGCGACGACGCTCTTCGCCGCCTGGCGTACGATGTACGCTCCGCTTCTGTCCACTTTCGTCGGGTCTTTGCCGCTAAAAGCGCCGCCGCCGTGGGCACCCCAGCCGCCGTAGGTATCGATGATGATCTTGCGACCGGTCAGCCCGGCGTCTCCGTGCGGTCCTCCGATCACGAACCTGCCTGAGGGATTGAGGTGGAAGATGGTATTCTCATCAAGGTACTTGGCGGGAACGACGGCCTTGATGACGTGCTCACGAAGATCGGCGGCAATCTGGTCGTTCGACACCGTCTCGTCGTGCTGCGTAGAGATCAGAATGGTGTGCACACGAATCGGCTCCAATGCGCCATTCTGGTGCTTCTTGTACTCGACTGTGACCTGGGTCTTGCCGTCAGGTCGAAGCCACTTCAAAGTTCCGTTCTTCCTCACTTCTGTCAATCGCGCGCCAATTTTCGTCGAAAGCACGTGAGTCAAAGGCATCAGCTCGGGGGTCTCGTCCGTTGCATAACCGAACATGATACCCTGGTCGCCCGCACCGATCTCTTCTGGCCTCTTTGTGCCCATTCCGTGCACGCCTTGGCCGATATCAGGACTCTGTTCTTCGATGTGCACCAGGACCTTGCACGTGTCGCAGTTCAAGCCCACCTCCTCTGCCGTGAAGCCGATGCCGCGGCATGTCTCCCGTACAATCTTCTCGTAATCAACGTTCGCTCTCGTCGTGATCTCGCCGAACACCATCACCATGCCCGTCTTCGTGCAAGTCTCACATGCCACCTTGCTCTCGGGATCTTGTTCGAGACAGGCATCCAAGATGGCGTCGGACACCTGGTCGCACAGCTTGTCCGGGTGCCCCTCATTGACGGACTCCGAGGTGAACAGAAAGGTCACCATTTTCGGCGATGGAGAAGACGGAAGACCGAGCGGCGAAGACAGAGAGAGAGAGAGAGACAAACAAACACACACGACTTGAGATGATTGCGCAACAAACAGCAAGCCAAAAGCCGCGGTGATCGACCGACCACCACCGCTATCGTAGCGGCGGCGACAGGCGGCGAAAGGCGGCGGAAGGATGGTCGGTCCGTCAACGACGACTACAGCATACGGCGGAAACCACACAGAATCCTTCCGCCGCGGCCAACAGCCGACGAGACGTGTGATGGACGTGTGTCAAGGTGTGACTGTTCCGTGTACCGGTTGTTCTATTTGTGTATTTCCGCAATTCTGTACTATGCACTCGTTGCTGTAGAATATGCGCTTTTCTTTTTTGGTATGAGGATTCGAACTCTGGTCTGCAATTCAACAGTTCATGGGTGTACGAACTAAGGGCATACTCACACTACCGGTAGCGCTTTCCAAAGTGCATCTGACCCCACTTACGGCAAGACTGGAATGCATCCGGTCGCAATCGTGGCGTACATAAGCGAAGTAGTCCTGATGTGAGTATGCCCTGAGCTAAGCCCGTTGCTGTATGCCCGCCTTTTTGTCCATCAGGCGAACTAACCCGCCTATGTAGCTCAGTTCGTACACCCATGACCTGTTGAAATCCACACCTCAGTTCGAATCCCGATGATAAACTCGATGAGTAAATAACTCCGATTTTGCCCAGGATGGCGTAGTGGTGTCATAGTGCCCTCAAAAGAGAGGACCCAAAAAAAAAAAAATAGAAAGAGGGGGAAAAAAACGTCTCATTCCTTCTTTTTACCATGTTTGTCGAACTTTTTCACCATACAAGCGCACCTGGTGTAGTGGTATCATAGTACCCTCCCACGGTACTGACCGGGGTTCGATTCCCCGGGTGCGCAAGGGACGACTTGCACTGGTGGTCTAGTGGTAGAATAGCACCCTGCCACGGTGCAGACCCGGGTTCGATTCCCGGCCAGTGCAATCTTACGACCCGTTCTTTTTCTTCACTGCATGAGTAGTTAGTTACTGATGCTTGCCCTGATTCAGTTGTCAACCACCACTCGGTAGTGCATGCATTCATCGATTTCCATTTTGCAACGGAGAGAGAGGGATTGTGTTTTTGTATGTGGCCACAGGGCTGCCGTCACATTATGGGTTGAGACGTGGTGACCCACTGCTCCATTTCTTTGGCCCTTTTTGGTCACTGGCCCCCTTCGGAAGTCACAGTCATGCATGCATGCATGAGTAGTTAGTTACTGATGCTTGCCCTGATTCAGTTATCAACCACCACTCAGTAGTGCATGCATTCATCGTTTTCCATTTTGCAACGGAGAGAGAGGGATTGTGTTTTTGTATGTGGCCACAGGGCTGCCGTCACATTATGGGTTGAGACGTGGTGACCCACTGCTCCATTTCTTTGGCCCTTTTTGGTCACTGGCCCCCTTCGGAAGTCTTTCAGGACCCCCTTTTCTGGTTGCCTCGGTCACTGAATGGGGCTCACTGAATGTTTTCTTCTTTTCGTTATTGGAGGTGATATGGGCATCCTCCACTACTGGGACTTTCTGTACATGGGCTTTATTGGTGGGGAGCTCCACATGCTGAAAACCAGGTCCAGCGTCCATGTGGACCCTGTCACAAGAAAGGAGCTAAACTGTAGAGAGGAGAACAGGATTGATCGCAAAGCTGGACCGGATTTCCAGCAAGTGCACCTCCCCACTAATAGATTAGAGTCAATGGCACCAAGGGTTTTACTAAGAGGGGCTGCTCCTATCAACCCTCTTAGTATAATTCTATTACGTTTTTATTATTATTATTAATATTTAATAGAATCTTCCCGACAACCAAGTTTCTCTCATTAACAAAAAAAAAAAAGGATTGATCACCCTCTCGTGAGGAGATTAAACCACCAGTACCTCCGAGCCCTTTTTTGGGAGCAAGGTTGTTGTTGTGTGCCAAGGAAAAGTGAACGAACGCAGGTGCAAGATATTTTTGTTTTGGTAGTTCCGGACGAGTGCTGGTCACACTGAGGCAGGATAGTAGGGATAGGTGGTGCGCTGGGAGTATTAACTTGGGCAAGGGTAGGGAAGGTGGCCTATCCTATTCAGACAACCATCGGCTGCCGCTGCCAGCGGTCACTATGGGTCTTGTGCTTGGCCTCTACGACACAAGGGGAAAAAAAAAAAAAGTTCAAACCCTTGTTAATGCGGCTGGAGCAGCATCGCTGTGAAAGGGACTGGCGGTTCACTGCACTCCAAAATCCCAAATATTGGCTACCACCTATCTCCTTACACGATCCCTGTTAGAAGATGAGGCTCCCACCATGGCCCTCTCACGTAGTGAAACCCACCACTCGAGGACCCTCCTCTCCCCTTCTACAGAAGGGGGGAAATCCCTAAGCCCCCTCCAAACCCAAGGATGCCTCCAACAGGAATGTGCACACTCTCGAGATAAAATATTGAAGAAATAATGTAATTTGGAGCTTTACTCCTTAAAAAAATAATTACATCATCAAGGAACTGTTGAAAACACTAGCAGCGCAAAGTCGTTCCACTACAACCTCCGTGCCCACCATAGGTTGTGCAAACTTTCAAATCTTATTCATTTCTAAAATGCTCACCTCTCCGCTCCCACCATAGGTGTGTTGTGGATTCAAATACCCACTGACATCTGCAGTATTTGGGTTGGAGCTTCAGCCCTGCAAGTGTTGTTGTGTGCATTTCAAACCAGCCTCAACTCGAGTTGGGAAGTGGAGTGTGCATTGGAAGGATATTATGAAAAGTGAGTGGCCCTGAGATAAAGATTGGGTATTGTTGGCTATCCTTAAAACTTTTTTTTTTTCTTTTTTCATTTTTTTTTCCTTCTATTTTAAACTTACGACCTCTGCCAGAGGGGGTGGTAAGAGCAGCCTCCTCTAGTAATTGTCCCTGGTTGCTCCATCTATTAGTGGGGAGTTTCACTTGTTAGAAAACGGGTCCAACATCCCTATACAAAATATCATACAATCATCATCATAACAACTTGTTAGTATTGATTACCCTAGGATACCTCGGGTATTAATTGAGCGGTTGGAAAGGCCATGGTGACAAAAGTGTCCCTTCACCGCTTGAATAGGGCGCCTATTCTGACTTCACATTCATAGCATCTTCCCTCACCATGTATGTCTAATTATAGTTTCATTCAATAATAAAAATATATAAGTGAATCTTATAAACTTTATTGCTAGTTGCTTGAGCCCACCTGATCTGAGTTACGCTGTTGAGATGCTATAGCAACAGGTACTGGGAATTAGGTTCAGCATCCCTCTTGATCCTACTGATTGGAGATCGGAGTACTCTTGATGTAAATTTATCCCTCTCTTTAATATTATACATAAATATACATATATATATATATACCCCTCTTCACCTAATCAAGGGAACCAGATTTCAAATGCTTTCTCTAGTTTTGTATGTTTTCCCGAGCTTCTAACCACACAGACCCAAATTTCGGATTTACGCATACCCAAACCATGATATTGGAACTATATTTTTCCCATGTTGAGGAAAAGGGTCAGGGAATTCCGACAAGGGTGTTAAGGGTATATGTGAACCAATCGTAACCCAATCACTAAAATTCAAGTGATAGTATTTGCCCACCTCATCAAAGTCTCCTCTCTCAACCCCTTTCCATTTGACCTATCCTATATTTCCCCTTTGGGGCTCCCAAAACAATCAACGGCTAAATTCTTAAATGTGTTTTCGAATTTCAGTCTGAGAATGTAGGTGTTGAATTTTTCTTTTGTAAGAGTCTCGTTAGACACTCCTAAAATAATCCTAAAATTTTTAGGACGAGTCATAAAGGATTTTTAGGATTTCGTGTGGCGTCGTTACACACAATCCTAAAAATCATCTTTTAGGATTCGTCCTAAAAGGTCTCTCGCGGCCGTTTTTCATATGCATATACGCAGCCGCGTCGCCAATGTTCATCCATTCCTGCCAATGTCCGTCCAATCCCCGCCAACGGCTACCGTTCGTGGCCGTTGCCCACGTCGACCCGCAAAAAACCTCCGATGTCAACCACTGACCCGACGGACCGCTTCTGCACCAGTAACTCCGTGTCAACGGTGCCATGCGCACGACACAACGAGTTCGTGAAACGTGGGAATCCTAAATTTTTCAGTAGATCGGGGACTACTGAAAAAATTAGGACGATTTTGTCTGAAGAATCCTAAATCCTTTAGGATTCGTCCTAACGCTGTTTTCACATTTTCGATCTCAAAATTGGATTTAAGATTGCGTGCAACCAAGACGCAATGCTAAAAACAGACACTTTTAGGAGTGTCTAACGAGACCCTAAGTTCTCATTTTATTATGATTGCTGTATGAATTTGCTGTTTAATTGAATCTATGAATTCAAGATCATCCAACCTTGCCCCTTATATTTCAAAGGTACATTTTCTCAACCAAATGACCCGCAACATTGTTATTCAGTCCTAGTATGAATAGATTGCAGGTGAACTCATTATAAGGATATGGAGTCCAAAATTCCAGTAGAATTGTCTTTCAATTTTATGGCCATTGACATTGGGGACTTAGTTGTCTTCAAATTCGTTTTCACCATCTCCATAACCAGATGGCTCATGGATCTTGTAAGAAAATATATTTAATAGTTTATAGATTTGTCTTTGTCAGGAAGGCCGAAGAAAAAAATTTACATCACGGAAGTGTTATTCCTTTTGTTTCAACCTAGTTTGTTCTATTAATCGATCCTTCGCAGGGAGACAACGATGCTTACTTTGTCATTGCAGCGAGGTCACCTTGGCTGGTTTAGATTGCAAGATTTGAAACCATTTGATTGACTTCAGGTCTTCTTTACGGGCGTTTAGGTGTTTAATCCACCTTGTTATCACTCCGTCTTTCAAACTAATGCATGACCTTAACATTTTATATGTTGATTTAACTGATAAAGTATGAAGTGCTCCCTTATATGTTCGACCTTTTTTTACAGGTGTGGTCCAAATCCAATTTATGGGGTTTGGTGTCATGCATGAAATAGGGGCCGGGGGTGTCAAGTTTGAATGTTAACCATGTAGTGTTGTTTTTAAGTACTTTAATCCTTATATGTAGAATTAGATATGAAACTGAATGCAAAACTCACCCTAGCAGACCAACGGATTCAGAAGTCGCATCACGCTTGATCTCATTGCGAGATTGAACCTTTTGGGACTTTTTGGGCTAGTGGAGTT